AACAACATGGCATGTAGTATGTGTCCAGAAACTCCTGCTAAAAAGTATTTTAAAACTACCATGAGCACCAAACTCAAGAAATAGTCTTAGCCCGTGGTAATTATAAATTGCACAAAATTCTAGTCTGCAAGTGACACCTCAGCCCCCACGGAAAAAAACACAACTTAAAAAGCACTTAGCAGAACTTTGCATTGCTGCTTCGTTTACAAAAAAAAAAAAAAAAAAAAAAACCACACAAAGAAAAAGACGGGAAAAAAGTAAAAATGGAAAAAAAAAAAGAAGAAAAAAAAAACAGCGACCCTGAAACTCCTAGGCATAAGAGTGTTAGCCAGGTTATGATTTTTTTTTTTTCAGACTGATTTTTGGCATTTCTTTGTCCTACACATTTAGGAGATTTAGTTATACATTCTGATCTGTTGTCATACTAGAATTTATGGCAAATTTTAGGTACTACAGTTACTTTTGGCTCACTTTAAGATAGCAGAAGGATCCTATTATACTGTTCTTTGACCCTATTATATTTACGTTACTGGACTCTTTGTGCTAGCCTTTAGCTGCTTTCTATCTGTGTCCTCCTTGAGCAAAATATCCCCAGCAATATCTAAAAGCAGAGTATAGGGTTAGAAAACCAGTTCTCATTCGAAATATATATTTCTGCCCAGCGTCACGAAAGCAAAAGGTTTATTTAATGCTTGTCAATACCTGAAGGCATGGTCCAGCACTTAACAAATAATAATAAATAATAATAATGCTCTAATAATGTGGCAATCCTAGTGTGAAAATGCACATGACCTCTTAGGTTTTCCCGAAGATTTTCAAAAGAATTCTCCCCATTAGTGCAACCGCTGGTGGACATCGCTGTTGCATTTCCCAACGAAACGTTTAAAAGACTGTAAATGGTGTGTGCATTACTTCATTGCAGAAGGAAGAGGTCAGGCTGAATTGCACTGGTATTTAAACATAATCATACTATGAAAATAAATCAAAACATCACGTAAAAGGAGTATTTTAAATGTTACACACATTTTCTTTCTGGAATGACGTGGTTAAGCACTTCCCCGCGAGCACATATATTTTAACACAAGTTTACAAAAATGAAAGTATACGATTTCCAATAAATGGGAATAGGTCTACAGCGAGGTATTATGAATATTATTTTGCTCTTTCTTTCCTAATGAGGTTTATCCTTCGGCCAGACAGCTTCAAGACTGAAATACTACTGACTATAGAGTGTAGATTGCAGATTGCACGCTACTCAACGTGAAAAGGAGCACGTTTGATTGATAGTCTCTGTGTGTGCGTGCGCCTATACACACAACTCTCTGTATATGTATTTGGCAAAACCGGGCATCTCTGGGCGTCCTTATCTTAAGAAATGAGAGACAAACACCCATCCCTTTAATCATGTTCATCTTTGATCACCAGCGAGGGTGACACAGTCCACAAAATTAACAAAGAAACTCCCTTGCTTTTGAGAGGGAGCGACATATACATCTGGGTCTGCACACACATGCACGACGTACACACGGACACACGAACACGCAGGCATACACCCCGGCTCCCAGTAAGTAAATTATTGCATAACTTTTCATGTAATTGATACCAGACACCTTTAATTTTTCATTTTCATTCTTTTGGCCAGCTTTCACATTAACAATCTAAGCCATAAATGTTGGTGGCTATTGATCGCAATCCCCTATGTGCGTGCAAATCCATTTTCAAGTCCCCTGCCTTTAATGTGCGTGTGCGTGTGCAAGGGGCCTCTGCCGGCTCTTTATCAGGATCTTCCCCCCAGCCTGCTTGAAGACGACCCCGGATACACAACGTGTGCTGATGGCCAAGGGAAAGCACACGCACGCACACACACACACACGCAAACACACACACAAAAAGAAAAAGAAAGAAAAAAAAAAAAGAAAACCAACACAAACGATGGAGAAGTAGAGAAACAGAGGTCTCCGTGCGAGATGCGGAGAAAGATATGCAACCGAAAGTGTGTGTAAGTATACGGTGGGGATGTGTAGGTTGGGCGCCTGACATTTCCCAAGACTTCTGGTGGGTTTCTCCCCATCGACATTTGGCTCTGCCTCGACCCCGGTGCTCATGGCCGCACCTTTCGGGAGATGGAGGTTTGCCGAAGAGCCGCCACCAGTTTTAAACGTTTGGTAGCGCCGGAATTGAAGGAACAAAAATAATGCATTTTTAAAACAGTTGCCGAATCCCACTGCCCGGCTGTCACCGGCAGTATGTGGGTGCGGGTGCCCGTGGCTCCCGGCGTGCGAACGCACGCGTGGATTTACACGGGAAGCCACCCCAGCCGAACTACCTGGCAAATAAAGGACTTTTCAGCCCACCGGGGCTTTTGGTAACGTCTCCTGAGCAGCTTTCTCGGAGTTTACTGTTCCTCTGCTGTTGACTCCATAGCCTTAACCTTAAAGCAGGGGGAGGAGAGCAGCGGGGAGGGGGTGGGGGTGTTGGCAGCATATAAGTACATCAGGAGGAATTTTTAAACGACCTTATTGTCTCTAGCTCTAGAAAGACTACGATGATTTCTTTTTAGCGCCAGCAGCTGTTTTCTCTCGAAACTTTGCTTTCAGCCTCAGCATATACCAGGGTGCCCCTCACCCGAGGCAGACAGAGAAAGGCAAGGCTGGGGGATCCAGATGCAAGGCGAGGGAAGGCGAACTCCGCGGATGGTCTTAGCTGTGCCGAGGCATTGTTCACTGCTGCCTATCGGTTACGTTTAAAGGCTGAAATATCACGAGATCCACTCAATGATCCTTTTCTAATTCGAGGGACAAAATGTAATTTGCTCTAGCTCTGCTTTCTCGGATGGGAATGCTATCCCCAGGTTTCAAAGGGAAGAACTAGGCATCGCGGTTCGCGCACACATGGATTAAGTTGAACAGCGGCGATTACATCTGCGCTGAGAGCAACAGTAGTCTAGGGCTGACTTTTCAAATCTCAGCCCTCCGAGTTAGAGGCTCCCTTGAATAGACTTCCTCCATTCCCGGATGCACTTCTCCAAATTCCCACTTCTCTCTAGAATTCCTGCGAAATTGGGGGCTCGCCTGCATTTCGCCTTGGCATGCAAAGCTGCGTTTTTGCAGAGTGATCATGCGCTTTATTTTAGCTGTACCTGACGGGGTAACGCGAACTCCACGCACCATGTTGCCAATACGCGGAGTGGATATTGACGTTTGGGACTGAAGATTTTTTTTTTTTTCCCTCGGTCGATTTTTTTGCCAAGTCCCAGAAATATGAGATGTCTCATTAATCTCGCGGATATGTCTAATTCTGGATGTGCAGTGATACATAAAAGTGCTCGTGTTTGTATCCAGCGGAACACTGGATGCACGGCAGAGATTGGCGATTTTTTTTTTTTGCAGCGCCTAACGTGCAAACCGCAAGCATCACTTTAACGTGACAAGGGAGAGGCATGCAGCTATCGCAACATTTGCGAAATCCTCGTTCCTGACACTCGCATAATTTAACGTTCTTAAGAAGAGGTTAAACCTTCATGCTGCTTCTTCAAATTGATTTTAAGGGGCTGCTATAAATGGAACATCAAAAAGCTGCGGCAGGGCTACTCCGAGCGGAATATGCAAACTGCGAGCCAGGAGCATCCTAGCCCGTTGCAATATCGTACATTGTGTGCGCCAGCACTTTTTTGTTATTACGTAAAGGCTCTTGGAAGCACCTTGGATATTTTACATTCTCCTTTCTCTGCTGGAAGCAATCAGCACGCAGGAATCCTGACGTGGGATCTGGGACTATAGGACATTCCAGCTCGCGATCCAGCACGGTTAATCGTGAAAAGTGTATACATTTCTGGCTTATCTATGCTTTGTTATGGGTCTGACGTGAGCCCACGTCCTCCTCCCCCCGCCCGCAATATTACAGGCAGAATTTCAGTTAAAAGTGTTACAGTATCACGGTGCGGGAACCCGTGGTATTCAGACAGCAAAATAACCTTAGTCCCCGGCTGTAAAAAGCTAATTAAGCAGAAGAGGAAAATCAAGAGAAACTCGAAAATGTAAGTATTCCCTCTCGTTAACAACCGAGCATTTAACTTTGGAGCCTCAGAAAGGGAAATACCAGGCTGTTCTGCACGTTTTCGCTAAGCTTCCTTTTCCACACAATGCAGAATAAAACGCTAGTTTAAAGCGGCTACGTTACCGAAGGATTTTCCATCGCTACGATCAGACTTACGTCCTTTAAATTCACGGCATGCACAAAAGAGCAACGTTTGTCCAAAACGGGCTAAAAATATACGAAGCGATAGGGAAAAAAGCACACAAATCCTTCCTCGGAAGCTAGCTACGAGGAAGTCTGAGAGGTCTGAGTGTGTTTGAGCTCGGATTGTTTAATAGGAAGATTTATATACTAACTGTATTATTTACTTTGGGAGGGGAGGTGGCAGTATAAGGGTATGCTAATTAGTGGGAGATTTTTTGGGGGAAGGGGTGGAATATCAATTTTTATTGCATCACCTGTCAGGAGTGTCCAATCAGCGTTGGCTTTAGGGGAATTAATTGATGAAGGTGTCTCCGGACGAGCTCACTTCACTCTGTCATTTTATTTGTAGCTAAAGCAGCGGCGGGAATAGCAGCTGCATTTCTTTTCTCTTCCTCCCTTCACATTCCATTATCATAGTTTCCAATGGAAAAGCAGGGAATGAAAGGGAACAGGTACTGATCTTCAGCAGCAACTTAGAGAAACACTTTGGCAAACCTGATTTTTAAGATTATATATTGATTGTAGCCTCACGGTATTTTTTTAATTTATTTTTTTTTCATTTTGTCTAAAGTTTGGCACTTCATTCACCAGGAATAACAGCCTTTGTTATATTTTATTAGCAGGATGGCTTGAGACAAATACAGCATCTGGCTGAGGATTGTGTGTGTGTGGCTTTTTCTTTTTTTTTCCCCCCCCCTTTTTTTTTTCCCCCCATCTCTCTCTCTCTCTCTGCAAATGCTGGGAATAATTTAATTCACGAAATGGGAGACCTGAAGTCGGGTTTTGAAGAGGTGGATGGCGTGAGGCTCGGCTACCTCATCATTAAAGGAAAGCAAATGTTTGCACTCTCCCAGGTTTTTACAGACCTGCTCAAAAACATCCCGCGAACTACCGTGCACAAGCGAATGGATCATTTAAAAGTAAAAAAGCATCACTGCGACCTGGAGGAGTTGAGGAAACTCAAAGCCATCAACTCCATCGCTTTCCACGCCGCCAAATGCACGCTGATCTCCAGAGAGGACGTGGAAGCCCTTTACACATCCTGCAAAACCGAACGGGTCCTTAGGACGAAACGGAGGAAAATAAGCCGGGCGCTGTCGACCACCGACCTCCGGCCGGAGCTCGCACCCACCGACCCCTTCTCCGGCTTCTGGAAGGAGAACAAACTTTGGCTGGGTTTGAGCGACTCTCCCCGGCCCCTGCTGCCCATCAGGAGGAAAGCTCTGCGTCCGGGGGACACAGCCTTGCTACCGGCCTCTCATCTACCTCACATTTTTAGTAAATACACTGGCCACAGCTACCCAGAAATCGCTCGGGCGCCTTGCAAACCCCCCGTAAACTATGAAACGGCGCCGGCGG